TAAAGAGATATAGCGCATTGTGTTTCTAAAATGGAAAATTCTAATGACGTCAGCAATTGACATAAAACGCTATATAGAACACGCGAAATGACGTGAGATGGCGCGAGCAGCTGCTTACGTCAGGTCATTTTCGAAGTTCTGTCATTTTGTTAATCAGTTTCCGCGACCTGCACGTAAAAATGGTCACCCGGTTTTGAGTTTGCGATTCTTGAGCAGGGTTTTCGTGATAACTATATCGAGCCACCTTAAATAAGGCAGGGAATTTTACTGCTTTTTCTTTGTGTCAAGATGAAGTTATTGACTGCAGTGATCTTTCTGATAACATGAAAGATTATACAATATTTAGTGAGAGCTACTTAGATTGACCTTTGTGTTTGGTAGGGTGCAAGTGTTGCCCTCCGTCAATGCATTTGAGGCATTGTTCGCTTCTTCCACAGGAGCAAACAGATTGATATCTGCATCAAAACAGATAGGACTGTCCCTCTTCTCCGCCATCTTCTCAGCTGTTATGCTAGAAATATGAAGATATTTGAAATTTTAACTAAATAAAACTAACATTACCATCAGTAGTATGGAAATTACATGAATACATCTAGGCTTATCATATCTTACAGGGGGGAGGGGTCATTGTTTATCACTACCCCTAGTAGACCAAGTGAGGCCTCTAATTAACAGATACTTCCCAAGAGGTTCCCAAATGACACACTACATATTCCTTTACTATTTCCTGTTGGTTCTGTTAATTTAGACATCATGTATATTTTAATAGGAAGTGGTTAATTAATCTATTGTGTTTAGAGCTGGGTATGTACTCACCCTGATCCAACCTTTAGATCCACTTACAAATCTTGCAGTGGTGTGTGCACCCCCCCCCTGTCACAGAATAGATACCGGACCAGAAGTGTCACTCCTATGTGTTTTGGCTGAAGGAAAATGTCCGCAATTTTTTGCGTGCTATGACGCCATCCTGCAGTGCACTCGGCACTTTGTACCGATGTTTTCCTATGAAAAACTTCTGTGTGCACTCCAGGATGGCGTCATACGATGGCGTATTTTCAAGTCAGCACTCGTAAAATTTCGGACAAAATATCGTCTGAGTGACACTTCTGGTCCTGTATCTATTCTGTGCCCCTGTGCAGACCCTGAATAATTACACCATTTATATATCGAGACCACTGGCCAAACCACTTTTTAACACAGCGCTCTCTAATACCACTGGAGTGATGCAATCACTCTTGTTTCCATAGTATCAGGCATAATCAGGCATGGCATTGACAACAAAGGACTTATGCAAAACTACCACACAAAGGACTTATGCAAAGCTACACTAAACATTTCAAAAGCACAACTCAGAAACAAAAAATAAGAGATATTAATATTTCTATGCTCAGAAAATAAAACTGTGCTATATATTTTCACATGTACACATCAACATACAAATAAACTGGACTCACCCTTCAAAACTGTAAATATTCAAGCTATCAACGAATGCCACGTATCAGAACGCCATACACTCCGAATTTTTATATTCACACGAGACCTGTTAGCTATATTGCATCATTTTCGTACGAAAACGTCCAAAATTCTACATTTTCCCACCAAAAATTAAAAGCAATACTAAACATTACACAAAGTTCCAACCTTTTTATACCAGGGGCCTTGTCTGATGCAATATTTGAAACCAAAACGAAACTATATATTTCACCATTAATTGCTTTATTTCAAAGTTCAAACAGACGCTCTCGTCACAACATCTCGTCCCAGGAGAATTGCACCAATGCGCTCAAATTTAGCGGGAATTCCGATGATTTCCCGCCAAATATTTCGCGCGGGAAATTTTTGCGGGAAATTCTGAGTTTTCCAAAAAATATTTAATTTTAAAATGTTTTGAAATATCTTTCTTTGATCCTTAATAATTCTAAACAGTTTAAATTGTTTTCCGTTGCGAGAAAATTGGCTTTCAATCAATAAATAACTGAAAACATTTTTCGCATAAAATAGTGCGCGAAATTTATCGCCTGTTTTCGCGCGCTATTCCACATTGACGCACTAAATTTTGATATATGAATATGCCTTGAAAAGGCAAGAAAATTTGAAGGTACGTTACAGGAAAATATATCTTGACTTGCTTTTTAGTATAAAACAGTATTTATAAAGGTCAGTTTTTAATTATTAACCATTAAGCCGCAATGTGCCCTAATGCACCTTACTTGGCTCTCCCCTTTGATGAGCAAAGTAGGGCACATTAAGGTGTATTGCCACCTGATAGTTAATAATATTAAATATTTCTTAACTTATCACTTTCAGTTCTACAATTGTCCAGCAATGTACCATGAACGTCAAAGACTCCAATTCTGTGCTTTACATGTCTTGAACAACTTATTTCAAGCTGAAGTTTTTTCAAAACCTGAACTTGATGATATTTGCTATTCCTTGAATCCAGATGCCACAATAAATCCACACAAAAGCATGTTTGGATGGGGAAATTATGATGTGAACGTTTTGACAATGGCATTACAACTTAAAGATTATCAGTTTATATGGTTTGACAAAAGGAAGTAGGTATATAATATATATGGTTGTGCCTGGGTGCTTATTTTATAGTTGAGGTACTTTTGTCTTCTAATGTGTCACTAGTCTACAATTTAATTACTTTCTTGTCTTATTTGCCTTACAGAGATCTAAATTTGCTGGATCTTGCCACTATTTATGGCATTGTTATAAACAAGTTTTACAAACCAAAATGCCTCGGGTTAGAAATTCCAATAAAGAGACGACACTGGCTGGCAGTTCGCAAAATAGACGAGAACTTCTATAACTTGGATTCAAAACTTGATGTTCCAGAATATATTGGAAATGATGAACATTTGATCAAGTTTTTGAAATTCGAACTTGCAGTTTCGACAACTGAATTGTTTATAGTCGTATCAAATTCAGTACCTGAAGATAGTTGGATGAAAGTTGATGCTGGATAATGTTTTAGTTTAAATAATATCTTCAGGAAAAACTCCACCAGACAATTCGAGTATATACTGTTAGGGCTGACGGGTGTTAGCCTGCCAGCTACTTCCTTTAATACTGTGCATCCATCTTGCTTTCTTTTGTGATTTGTGGCTATAAAGTATGCCAGATTTTGGCAAACATAGCCACGGTTTGTGACCATAAACTACACCCGAATCCTTATAGCCATGGTTTCTGGCTATAAAGCATGTCTGTTTTTGGCATACCTTATTTTGAGGGCAGCTGCCTTTCTCACCACAGCCGAAAGCCCTGATGCTTGTTACAAATGCAGACATTCCAACTACTCGAGGTAAAATTTAGGAGACTGTTCAGTAAATTGAAATCTTGTTCTTCTGTGAAAAAATTTTAAAAATTAAGTCTTCTGAAATGGCATTTCCTGCATTTTGGGAAGATGTTGTTATAAGTGATCCTATAAATTGCCATAAAGTAACTTCATAAAAAGGTCAAAACAGACTATTATGTTGCTAAAAACAGTATGTTTATGATTTTTTTACGATATTTCCTGAATATTCTGAAAAATCGGGAGAATTTGATAAAAATCAGGAGACCAGGAGATTGTATGAATTTTCGGGAGACTCCCGGTAAAATCGGGAGAGTTGGAATGTCTGCAAATGTTGAAGCTTCATGTGAGAATAGAGAAACAACTCAACAAGTTACATACAGAGTTAAATACTTATATCATTTTATTTAACATTGAGAGTATTGACAAAAACCTTTTGCAAAGAACACATCACAGGTTTTACTGCTCATAATAATGTGGACGACAAATATTGTCAGTTGGCTATATCATCAGATGTTAAGCCTGAATATAAGAGGCCAGATACTGTCCAACAAGAAAGAGGCAAATGTCCAGCAAAATGCTTTTCTTGCCAGACAGTATAATTATAAGTGACAGTTACTATATTATATCATGATATTTGTGATGTCTGGCACTAAGTTGACTTGGTTCAAGTCTGTCTCAGGAGAAAAGTAGGGAGAGACGGACTTGGGACATTTGCAGCATTTTGAATGTACTTGCAAAAATTGGCGTTGTCAACTTGCAAGCCACGCCTCCATAGGAGGCGTGCATGCAAATGTCCCAAGTCCATCTCTGCCTACTTTTCTCTCATATTTTTGCGCCTTTTTTCACCGCTCACGTGCATCGCTGTTTTCAACCCCTTGAAAGATGGACTCGAACCAAGTCTAGCATTAAGTGAGAAGTGTTGGGCACCACCCAATGCATCCATTGATTCTAGTAGATCATAAATTGGCCAGGTAATTTACTGTGTGTAAACAGCATGAATTTAAGTTAAATATACAGTCTTAAAATGTTTATTAGTTTGATGTAAAACCAGTAGTAATCTTTGCAGACTTCTGTGTTATCTAAATTCAAAGATAGATTGACTGTGGTCGGGGACATGGTGTAGATTTAACGTCTGGAACCTGCAAGAAAAAGTATAGAATACAGTATTTAGACAGGATCATTATATGGTCTGTACAGTCTTTATAATTTGCCGCAGCAATTGCCGAAGCATATTGAGAATGTTCTTATCTGGCTCAGCCAAAAATCCTCAATTTTGTCAAGGCAAAAATACGATAATCACAAGCATTGCTACTTAGTGGGTTAAATTACCTCTCTTTCATACAGAATGTTACAGTAAGAAAATGTTACAAACGTGTCATCTTACCATTCTGACGTTTTGTGATAATAGTAGCCTTCCATAGTGGCTGTAGATTTTTGAAAGCATATATAATAAAATCCAGCAAACGATGCTCCATTTATGTCTTTTATCGTGTGATCTGGAACTAAAAAGTGTTCCTAAAAAATTGCACACATTTTGGTAAAAATGTTGTATGATACAAGTTTATCTGTTGAGTATGTTGAAGACATTTACCATCGCCAACAAACCACTTGATGTATTTTAATTTAGTTAGCAGTCAAATTTATAAGAACTTACTTTCCACCTCATAAAAGCAAAATCCAAATTATTTAGTTGCGAAAAGTCGAAACTATCGCTGTTAAAATGTTTTGCAAATTGATAAAAAGGAAGGAATTTTCCCTAGAAGAAAACATACATATTAATTTTTTTTCTGTGTGGTAACCAATATTATAATGGTGGTGATGAATTGTAATGGGCTGATGGTGATAATAGTGATGATGGTTATAATGATGGTGGTGATATGCACTGTATTTATGGTAAACTCGTACCCAATGTTTTCTGTCGACTTCTTCATCTGCTTCCTAAAAACAAAATCACTGTCTTATTAACTTCCCATTATTTATACAATCTGATCATTTCCTTACTATTAATAACAAAATTTAATAATGCCGATCTAGGTTAATAATCGATCAACCTACCCACTTCCTCGTTAGAAACGGATGTTTATCGCAAATTATTTCACCATCAAAATATGTTGTTAGTAATGGATATTCCTATAAATATCAAATTAACAAACTAAATAAATTTTGTTCATCAGCTGATATTGACAACGGCCATTTGTGCGATGTAAAAAGACATTTAAATATTTTACCATTCAATAAATTGACACTATAAATACCATATGGTACAGTATTAAATATTTACACTACCAAAACTCACCTCTGTTAGACCTATTATTTTTAAATAACCACAAAGAAAAGCATTTTCTTCGTCGACATGCTAAAGTTGAAAACAATATGAAGCTATTAGATGGTTGAAATACAATTTTCGTGCAACATAACAACACGAAAATCCATTTTCATCAAATCATAACACGATTGGCGCTCAAATGTCATCGTACCTGTAAAACAACTTCAACGTCGTAACTGTTCCCCTTACTTTTCTGTTGTCCCTGAAAACGACTGCCACTGTATAGAAGACTGCGTGGCAGGCCCGGCTGGTTCGTTTTCGGTGGCAAAGGGTCGCAGCGAATCTTTAATCCAGGCATTCTTGCCAGAAAATCTCAAAACGAAATTTTCAAAACATAAAGTTTTCTTCAACTCCGGAAATGGCGGCTTTGCGTAAAGGATTCTGGGAAAGAATCCACTGATCTATAAAAAAATACTGGAGCATGATCTGGACAGCGCTCCACTGAACTAAAAATACTGGAGCATGATTTCTGACAGCGACCACTGAGCTATAAGCATACTAGTATCTGGAGCGCCCAATGCGACTTTTTGTACGGCTGACAACTGGCGTAAAATCGCCAAAGTGTGAAATCGATGAATCGGGTGCATTCTAGATTCTGAGTTGAAAACGTGAAAATTTTTAAATTGTATTTTATTTATTTTTGTGGGTTTTTATCATCTGTGTCCTTGATACTAAAGCAATAAGGTAAAGAATATAACATATTTAACTTAGAGTGAGCTTTTATATGTCGAAATTTTGAAAATCGGTTGCGTAAAACAGTAGACACAAATTTTATTGAGTAGAATATTTATACGTCTTAATATACGTCGGGTTGTGATGGCTATAAATATGAGCTTAATATTGTCCGATTAAATATTTGAAGGGCTTTTAGAGACATCATCAGATAGTCCAGTTGACAACCAACAATTTCTCCTTGACAAGTAGAATTGTATTTGAGTTAAAATTGGTATTTTGTTTTTTATAGTTCCTCTTGACATCTTGAATTTGAAATTGATACAAAATGAGTCAGAGTGAAGCAGACATTCTTCCAAATTCAGCACCAATCAGCTCAACTGACCAATCAAATACAGGAAACATGAGCATTAATACAACAACAGAAGTGTCTGCGGGCTCGAAGAGACTTCATGTGACGAACCTGCCTTTCAGGATACGAGACAGTGACTTGCAGGAAATGTTTGGGGTAAATTGTAGAACAGAACCATATTCATGGGGGGTGGGTGCACGATTTTTGATACGAGACAGTGACTTGCAGGAAATGTTTCGGGTAAATTGTAGAACAGAACCATATCCAGGGGGAGCACGATTTTTTGACTTTTGAGTTATTTTGTTAAAAATTGTTATATTCTTATAGAAATATGGTGAAATTATTGAGGCTGAAATTGTCTATAATGAAAGGGGATCAAAGGTAACATTCTCTCTTTAATCATGAATAAAAGCACCGATCTAGGCTAGGGCACTTTAACCCTTTAAGTTGCATATGGCCTAATGCACTCTACTTTGTTATTTCACTCTGTTTAATGCCAGGCAATTTTACTCATCAAGGGGAAAGCACTGGTTCTTGAAAAATTGATGTAGGCATGGCAAATTGAATGAAGATAGGGGGGTGCATTGCTTTTCAATGGGTTATGTGTGTATAATGTAATATATATATCTATAGGGTTTTGGTTTTGTAACAATGGCTCAAGCTGCTGATGCAATGAAGGCAAGAGACAATCTGAATGGTACTGTCATTGATGGCAGAAAGATAGAGGTAATGAATGTCTCTCGGAGATAGGGATCAGTGTTTGAATTATTGGATTAGGCCTAATATTAAGGATTAGCCTAGGAATAGTGTTAGGAATAGTGTTAGGATTTAGGTTAGGATTAAGTTAGGATTTGGGTTAGAAAATAAGGTTAGGATTATAAGGAAAGTTTAAGGGTAATAATAAAGTAAAAAAACAAATTCTGAAAAGACAATTATTCAGACAGAATGAAGATGACTTTGAAATAAAGTCAAAAATTTATAGTCTCAACCTGCGTCTTGTCTTGAATCATACATTGAATTCTCAAGATGTCTTGTCTTTTCGGAATTTGTTTTTTACTTTATTTTTTAAATTGTCGACTGGTCCCGGGTTTTTTAAGGGTAATGTTGGTATATTTAAATGTGGTTGTTATGGAAATTCTGTGCATGTCAACTTGTCCCCAAGTGCATGTTGCATGCTCAATAATAATTTTCTTCACACAGGTTAACAATGCTACACCGAGGCCTAAACGAGGCCCAATGTCAGCCCAGTCCAACCGAGGATCATTTCATGGTACTGCATGCTGTTCTAAGGATGTACCGTCTCTGCATGTTCAAGCCTTGCATGTTGCATGCTGTGCACGTAATGTATAACCACGTATTCTAGTTGCATGGACATTGGAAGTATCAAGAAATTGCAGGATTGGTGATGTATAAAGGGGTTTTGATGGGGGTTCAACTGACTTGTAATGTTTGCCTGTATTTTTGACAACTGACAAAATATATTAACTGGTAGTAACGGTAGTTGACAGATGATAAAACTAATTTGGAACTGACATCTTACAAAAATCTTTATACTGATAGCAACTTGTAACTATAAAACAACTTCTGCCACACTTTTGTAATTAGGATATGATTTATTAGGATACCGAGGGATGAGAGGTGGTCGTCGAGGGAGAGGGGGTATGGATGGCGGATATCAAAGCCAAAGGTAGTTAAAACAAAACGAGTTTTTGGTTTTCAAGTTGGAGTGCTTGTTGACAGAGCTCCCTGTGATGAAACACAAAGATTTGGAACATGTGTAGGGTATAATAGTTTTGTTTGTGGAAACACCACGTAAATTTATTACTGCAAGTTATTACTAATAAACTTAATTTCCACAAACAAAACTATTATATGTTTTATTGCCATGCAAACATACAAAGAACTCATGTGTAGGCTAGTTGGTAGGGAGCTTAAGCAAACAACATTTTTGTCAACACGGACGTCAGATTGCCGAAGTGGACAGGATTAAAAACTGTTTTTGTATCAGTTTGTGGTAATCTTCAACACATCTGACAAAACATAAGATTTTAAAGTTTTGATTCAAAATGCTGCCCAATGCCTATGTTGACAGAAATGTTGCTTCCTTAACCTCACTAGTATCAGTGAGGTTTCAAGTGCTTTTATTTATTTGTGTTCTTCATATTTTAGTTATTATCAAGGAGGATACAATCCTAACCAGGTGCAGTATATGTTATTTGAAGAAACACATCCTTGAATACTTTAACGATATCATCACCCTAAATGCACCATTCTATTATTAAAGGGATATAGTGCTCCTCCAAGTCAAGATGCATATCGGTAGGTGACGATAGTGTTAAACTTTTAAGACTGTACAAATATTTATTGTACGGTAATGCATAACACTTCCATTGTATTGAAAATCCATTTGTCCTCCATGCCATTCAGTCACTCAATGTTGTGCTGTTGTTTATGCTAAAGGTCTATTATTTTCACATTTTCCCTAGCTATGGGCAACAAGGACAACAAAGTACCTATGGAGGGGGTTATGGCAGTGCATATGGAGGTACTGGTGGTTATCAGAATACAGCTGGCTATGCCAGTGGATATAATAGTGGAGGATATGGTGGGGTAGGTATTTCATACTTGTATGGTAGCTCTAGATATATTTGAGTCAGTATTAGAGGACACCAGATGCTGGTCAACCCCAGATGTATTGACATTTGTAGGGGCAAACAAATTAAACTATACAGCTATGAATTCCACTTTTTTGCTACCAAATACAAGACTCTACTGCACATATACTGACCTTAGTATTCAGCCATTCATCTATATTTTTCTTTATGCACTTTATATGTGATGGTTTTTGACAATAACTTTTATTAAATTACTGTAGGGTTACCAACAGCAAGCTCCTCAGCAAAGTCACACACAAGGATATCGCTATCAACCATATTGAAGACAACAGTATAACATAGTGTCCTAACAAATCATGAAAGTTGATTCTAACTGTAATATATTAGATAGGTTTGCTACACTAGATAGTAGAGACTTTCATAGTATACAGTAGAGATATGTTGTACATTTAAGCTTGTTTCATCATTCTTCATTTATATTCTTTGTTTGTTACAAGGCCAGATTACGGTGAATACTATATGAACACCTTTCAGAAAAACTTGCAGCACAGATGAATGTAGCCTTTGATATTGTCTCAACATTTTACAATTACACAGTCATGTACAGTTTTTTAAATTTCACATATGTATCTACCATGTCCATTTGCTGAGAATGTATGGCAAAGTTTACAATGTATACTTTTAAAGAACGAATATACTGTATTTAAGGATCAATAAGTATGAAACATATTGCTTTGTTTCACATGTTATATTATTACGTTGTCATGATTTCTTCAAAAGTAAACGATTGTCGTGTGGTAGAGAGTAACAGTGAATTAACATCATTACAAAAACCACATGCAATCTCGGCATGATGAAGTACTTTTTCAACAAGATTCATTCTTTCCTCTTCATTCTAAAATAAATGAACAATACAATTTTTGGTTTTGGGAATACACCTCATTTATTTGGAAAAACGTTCAATCAAGCTTGGATATTTATTGATGAGATTGCCTCTTACAGTGAGGTCACCACAGAACATTGTTGAATCATATGCCTCCACCAAATCTGTGACTTCGTTCAAATCAACACTGTGAAGATGCTCTTGTTTGGCTAGAAAAGTAACAATTAAGTTGATGGAAAAGGGTGTCTGTTTGTGAGAGGTGTACAACTGTGTTAAATTGTGTTTACCTTTAGAAAGAATAAAACAGCATCGACCCAGGAAGTAATCAACATCAACAAGCTTAACTGCTTCTTCAATCATTTTAAAACTAAAATAAAAATGTCACAAGATTTGCTTTCAGTATTGCACTCCCAAACATCAGACTTTAAACAGGCACTCCAGTTTCCTGTAAAACTAGACCAACAAAGGATTGTTTCCCTTATTGGACCTCCTGTGAGAACAGTTTAGAACTGATAAAAATATTCGGAATAAATAATATCAATATGCTACCTTTGTTGATTAGATAAATCCACAATAAAGACAATATAGTCAATCCGAGGTCGTGGTTCACTGGAATCAGTTTGCTTTGGTAGGGGCAGACTGGTTGTTGTTCGACTAAAATTTAATATGTTAAAAATTAACCCATTGAGTGGCAGCACTCTCCCCCTGATGAGTAAAATCGTCTGGCGTTAGACAGAGTAATATAATAAAGTTGGGTTGATGTTCATGGGTGGGGGCTTGATTAATTGGGGGGATTATCTGAGAGAGGTCACACTTTAATAACAGTTCCTTACATCTGTGTGGAATAAGAAGTATCCATTTGTAACATTGCCTCAACAAAATCCTCCATACCAATGCCTTTTATACTAACAACCTAGACAATCGTATTAAATTGTAAACAATTGTAGGACTTTTAATAGTTGCTGTGATCTTTGTCGGTGAATGAGTAATAATTAAGTACCCTGTCCAAAAACAAGGAAAAATCGGAAATTTATAAGATTTACAAAATTTACCAGTATCGTTGCATGGCTTCTTGTTGGCAATTCTTGATATCGCGATAAAACCTCATCTAAAACTTCGCCTGGCATTTTATTTGAATGCTTTTAAAATATTTACATCCATCCAATGTTTACATTTCCAGTTTCCCCGCCAAATTCCTGAACAGTCAATATACCCCCCTGGAAACTCAATATACCCCCCTGGAAACATGCTTAGTTTTATGAGTAACCGGGGGGTTGGCAGTAAAAGTTTGCCAATGGTAAATCAATGTGGTAAATACATATCAAATATGAAAGGCAAAACTAAAAGAGAAAAAGTTATTTTAGTTTTTGACGAAAAAGATCGCAGGTGAAAATAGCAGTAATATAATTTTGTTGCTAAGTGTAAATATAGACACTCCAACCAAAATTTTATTGCATATTTTTGTAAATTTATGTCATTGAATTTATATGTTTTCTGCATGTGATTGTATAAATAATTAAAATAACTGTATATCGTAGCCTGGTAGCCAAACTCATACACTCATAAATATTCTATTTTCTTCGCTAATTTCCTGTGAACGAATGTTTTATTTTCTTAGAGATTTCCTGACGGGTTTTCGAAAGAGAAAAAATGCGCGTAGAAAGAAAGCGCAGGAGGAAAATCAAAAGAAGGAAGAAGAGAAGCGGAAACAGCTCAGAGAAGAAGTAAAGCCCTATTTCTTGTTTGTTTATTTCATTTTGGGGCTTCGGTGGTGCCATTGTCAGAGCAAGTGCCTTTCAGAATTCTGACCTCCAATATTGTGGGTTTGATCAAGTCGTGACACTTACGTGAAAAGAGTCACTCAGTCAACACTCTACTGAACGTCATAGGTTTTCTCCAGTGTTAAAGTGCCACTGTGTGGCGAAACCAACTCAGTGCAGTATTGTAGACATATGTTTATTGATTTTTCATCAATATTTTTGCTTTTCAGAAACGAGAAGCTTTGAGACAGCATCTTGAAGAATATGAAAACCACCAAGGTATGAATGAATTTTTCACCCATTAACAGCCAACACATTCCCCTCAACAGGTAAAATCATTCAGTATTAGATAGAGTTAAGTATCAAAGTAGGATGCATTAGGGCACATTGCAGCTTAATGGGTGAATATAATCATGTTTTTATATTTTTTCTCCAAGAATATGTTCATTCAATTACCATTTATGTTTACAGCAAACAACACTGAAATAGATGAAGATTTAGTTGAAAAACCAGAGAGTGTCACTCATGACTTTGGACAGCATACAGTGACAGTTTCTACAATCACAGATGAAGACATGGGACGAGATTTTGTGACTTGTGCTCACCCAACAGAGGTACATGGATTGTATAATATAGCAACCAACCTCCTGTAACCTCAGGTAGTTCAGGTTCGGATACCAATATAACAGCTGAGCCATATTGTAAATAGATGAATACTACCTATTTGTTTTTTTAGGTCCAGTCCAAAACCACAGAGAACAGAATCACCTCAGAAAATCACAAACAAACTACAAAGTAAGCTAGTAATGTTCAAACGAACATTATCCAATTTGAAGTATGTATGTATCTCAATTTTTGTTTTATGTTATTTATTTAGAAATAAATTTCATCGAAAGAAGCAGTTCCGCAAAAAGGCGCAGAAAAGAAAAATCCAAGCTATGGGTGATAAGAAATCATTGAAACAGAAACAGAGGGGAAAACGAAAATAACCAGTTACAAGTTACAATAACTGGTTATAATTACAGTTCATGTCAAGGTGAAGGATGTATGTAATTGACAGGTTTCACTTGTGTTGTGGATGTTTGTGGACGTGCAGTTGTCAGAGTGAGAAAATGTTGACCACCACTGAAGACAAGCAAGTTTCAGACTATTTACACCTTGGTATCAGACCATGTTGGCCCAGTATCGGTCTGTTTGAAAATGCCATGTCACGACAGCACAACCAAATGAAATGTCAACCTGGAAACCAAACTAATGGCGGAATCAAGCCAACTGTCAATCTTGTATCCAGACCATTAGGTTAGGCTATGCCAAACCCCAGGTTAGGCTATGCCAAACCCTCTGTGCCAAACAGGCATGCTCTGGGTATGAGATTGGCCTACTGTACATATGTGCATAAAAATTAATAAAAATCTTAGATTGAGACAGGACGAGTGCTATATTCGTTGTTCATAACTTAGCTTGCTTTTATGGGGGGGGGGGG